CTCCATCTACCCCTAGTAAATTTGAGGATGTATCAAAAGGGAATCTATTATTCAGGAATGAAGGTCTACAATAATCTTCCACAACACATTAAGGATGTATCAAGTGATATTAAGATGTTTGAAGTACTACTGAAACAATTTTTACTACTACACTCTTTTTATTCATTACAAGAATATTTCTGTTACAAATCCCCTTAAGATATTTAAATAACTCTACTCTAAAAGGAGATAAATAGCCAGATTTGTATTTTTGTATTTATAATTATTTATATTGGGTATTTTATAACTTTTATTTATTTTATTGTATACAAGCATTGTAATATCTTATTTTATATTACTTATTTATATTGTAACTATTATGTATCTCTTATTGAATTTTATCATTAATATGTATGTGCTAATAATGTATGACAGGATTGCTTTCCACTTGTAATTTACTTGTAATGGATTGTATTAGAATGTTTATGATATTTGTACGACAAGTTGTATCTTGAGCCAAATTTGTAACCAAGACGATCTCCACATCCACATGAGTTTGTAACTCCTGATAGGATTTATGGAAGTGAAATAAAGTATGTATGTATGTATGTATGAAGTTTACGCCTACCAGTGTGTGGTCTGACGATGTTCCCCTTTCTTCAAAGGTACTTGGAGTTTTTCAAACACCATAAACACAGCAAAATTAACTCAAGCTGCATAAATGTTCAACTATCAAACTTAGCAAACCATACAAAAGTTTTAGCTCAATGCTCTGCATTCACGACTATCTTCAACTTCCAATGACTGTTGCATAGTGAACACACAAGCAGTAGCACGAAACAAACACCCAAGTTTATGGACACACATGCAACAGATGAGTGCTGTCCCATTCACTGTTCAATTTTTATACTGTTTTAACTGCATCCATACCAAATGAATCAGCACACACATCACTGCTGAATAAACAGATTACAGTATTCAAAAAGGAGATAATAATATTTTGTAAGGTTTCATGAATAGAAAGGAAATTATGTTTATCTGTTACAGTACATTACTGATTTAGAGGGAATATGTAGTTACTATAGGATTCTGACGATAGTGTATAACACACAGAGATATTGGGTTTTCGGACTTTATCCATCGTCCTGGTTTTTAAAATAACTAAGAAAAACACAACGTTTCAGAAACTGGATCTGTTTCCATCCTCAGGTGAGGTAAAACACCTATTCTGTTGGGTCCCTTAGAAAGAGCTAGCCTCAATCACTTATCACTTATCTTAAAAACCAGGACGATGGATAAAGTCTGAAAACCCAATATCTCTGTGTAGATGGAATATATTAAGCACTATTATAATTATTTTATGTACTCAATGACTTTATTACAATATATATTGACTTTCCAGTAAGAATGACAGTATGCCATTACCAACAATAACTATGGGGCACAGATATGAAACCTTTAGAAGAAAAATACTGCTCCAATGTACAATGATACCTTATGCAGAAACCCTTAGCATTTGGGAGCACAGGGAAACCCAATGATTCTCAGTCAATGAGAAATGCCTGCACCTGAGCACAGGGAAACCTAATGATTCTCAGTCAATGAGAAATGCCTGCACCTGAGCATAGGGAAACCTAATGATTCTCAGTCAATGAGAAACGCCTGCACCTGAGCACAGGGAAACCCAGTGATTCTCAGCCGATGAGAAATGCCTGCACCTGAGCACAGGGAAACCTAATGATTCTCAGTCAATGAGAAATGCCTGCACCTGAGCACAGTGAAACCCAATGATTCTCAGTCAATGAGAAATGCCTGCATACTAACCCAAATCTGATATAATAAACTTCACACCTGCAAAGAAAATAATTACTTTAAAACAGCAATGTTATTGTAAAAATAGACACACTTTAAAATTAGGAATGTATCTGAGTTCAACCCCAGATTATTGGAGAAATGTAAAAATAACCTAACCTCATGTACTCAGGAGTTTTATATCCTCTGATATGTCCATCTAGCTAGGATATTTCCAGCTCAAATGTGGACTTAGACATAACTGGTCTTTACTGAAATGAAATGGAGTTCCTTCCAGATTTATGAGAGTAATGCAAATTAAGCAATGCTGAAAGTGACCTCTCTTCTTTCATTTCTCAACCGGTAGTGGGAACAAGCAATAGTACATGGACAGACAAGCTTTTAGCATGTATGAATAAAATTAATAAAGGTAGGCCTAATACAAAGAAAAAGAGACTTCACTCCACTTTGTACAGGTGGCCAAAATAATCAAACTCATTTGCGTAACACATTTCAATTCTTTCCCCCAGTCTGTGATAAATGAAAATAGAATGAAAAGAGAGATGGTGCTCCTGTTTCCATTATTATGTGTGAAAACAGAGAGCAACGTTTCTTGTTTGCTTTAAACACTGTGAGAGTCCTGCATTACATTCTGGAGGTATTTTCAAGCAAGAGGATTATCATTTTAGTCTGGCATTTTTTACTTGTTCCTCCAGGCAAATGCTAGGATATTGTGTGATTGTGTGATATTTCATCATTCCTCCATAATCTCTGACTTCACTTATGTATGTGAGAGGCTTATGAATAGACAAAAGTTAGTGTAATTCATTTTGTATTTGTAAATTTAAAAATAAAATGAAGGAACTGGGAGAATTCTTTGTTGTTTATTGTGCACCTCTGCTATAGCCATAATTTTTCAACCACCAATTTCGTTTTTTGTATGGTTCACACTATGACATCAGTTTCTAAGAGTATGCGGTATTCAGTGGTACAATATATTGTGAATAATGAGTTGGAAATGATTTGGAAGCAAGCAGTCATTGCCTAATAGAGGTGCTACCCTGAATTTGCCTGGAGGGAAGAAGGATATGGATAAAGAACATCAATCAGGGTGTCAGCTGAGATTTCAACCAGGCACCTTCCAAATACAATACAAATCACGAGTGTTACTGTTACACCAAACTGCTAAGTTCACCACTAAAAATCCACTGTTCTTTTTTTATATTACTGAAACAATCCGGTTTCTGTTTACCAATAAAAGTTATAGTTAATGTAAAATACTACTGCAATCAATGCATTTCTCTCTCCATAGGTTCAGATGTTAGTCTGGGTGTGTTCTGCCACAAGTCTTCACACAACATATTATCAGGATGTAACAGTGGCAAACAGTTTACAGAATGGTAATTTTGAATTTATTGTAACTACTGCTTGCCTCCTTTCATCACAGGACAAAAGAGGCATGAAATATTAACAGATTCTTTAACTTATTGTTGTGGGTAGTGGGGATGGAGGGGCTGTGGCTGGGCTCTTCTGGATAGGCCAATACGAATTGAACGCCTAACAGGTACATGATTTTGAAGGGCCTTCTCTTCTATGTTGCTGGTCCATGCTTTTGGGAACTGATACTCAAAGTTCTGTTCACCTTTGGTTGGAGCTGTGGAAAATAAATGTGACACATTTCAGAATTTGACCACCAGCAGTAGTGGAGGCGGTAGGTGGTAGGAGTAAATTTTATCATTATAGGCTCAAATTGTTTTCTTACTATTATTTATATATTTAACTATATTTCACTCTTTACTGCCTATATGTCCTTGAAATCTTACACCCTCTGCAGGAAAATGTGACATGCAATGCTGAATTTTTCTCAAAAATTAGGCTCACCAGTTTTCCACTATTAAGTCAAGAAGGAAGGGAGAGAGGAAGGTTATTAAGCACGGTTATAATGAGGCTGTTCAATTTACCTTTCATAATTTGGTCTGTCATGTACAGCTCTTTTTGGTTCACGTCAACATCCGTCCAGGAAATGTCTTTCACAGTATCAGGAACCTTATGATCTGAGTCTACAAAATTTTCTACATTAATTATTGAAGTATCCTGTACTTTAGGTAAATATTCCTCATATTTAAAATTTGTGTCTTCATTATCATCAGTAGAGAAACCTTCAATGATTTCAGATTTCTCTGCCCTTGAATTATGGTTGGTAGGTAATTCAGAAATGTGAGACTCTGCTGATTTCAGGGTATCATATCTTCGTTTTTTGGGTAAAGAAACAGACTCCAGGTAGAGAGCTTCAATGTGTCTCTTCAAAGTCAAATTCTGATTGTTAAATTGGTTGCTTTTGTTGCTGAAACATAAAAAACAATAACTCTGGTTCTCTAAGTTGATCAAGCTTCTGATATTTGTTTGTACTGTAACATCTTGTGTTGACTGCCCCTCAGTATAACATGGCTGTTTGTGTATGTCATTTTCATGTTTCCTGACAGCCATGTCTATGCATGAATGCAGAGCGTTTTCTAGACTGGTGTTACGAACTTGAGACATATGGCTGGGACTACGTCTGTTCTGTGTACAAGGATATTGCACTGGTTGTGTCTGATAACTATCTTCCCAAGAATTAGATACAGACTCTGCATCTGATTTGGGAAAGGCAGTGTAGTCCTCGACAGGCAGATGTTGATGACTGAAATCATTACTACACATAATATCTGATGAATATGGTCTTGTGAACATTTGTGTTCTTTGTGTAGATACATATTCTGGGCTGGATATATTTCCCCTTATCATGAAAGATTCATGTTTGCTATTAATTTTGCTGTCAGTTTCAGTAATGTGACAAATTTCTACCTGTGGCTTATATTTCTGAGATGTTTTTACTATCTGTCTTCTGTTTGCATCAGTGTCACTTGGCAAAGTAAGTGCACACATCTTGCCCTGAACATTTGCATCTCTAGTATAGTTAATGCATGTTGAGTGTGTGACATGGGAATGACTTGTTTTGGCCTCTTCTGTACATGTTTTATTTTCTGGTCTGTTCCAAGAACTAATATGTGGCAGGATGCAGGCTTCGCATTGAATATTTCTATCTGGAATTACCTTACTGCCGCTGAAAATTTCATTCTGAGACAGTGGGAATATGATATGCTGTTTGGTTTTTCTTGGATATGCCCTTTTGTTTACATGAGCTTCAATTCCAGTTATGCTGTGGCTGTTATGAGATTCCATCTCAAGGGCATTTCCATCTTCTCTATACCAAGGATTCATGTCCTGTATAATTACCAGTGGAACTTCATAGTCGTTGTAACTAGTATTCATTTCAGATGGAGATGGATAGTACAGTTTATTTTCTTCACAAAAGCCATCACTTTTTGTTTGCAGTTTCTGTGACTTGTTACATAATTCGCTGAAACAGACATTTGTATTTAATTCAGTAGCAACACTGGTATCTAAATGGTCTGACTGCACCATATAAACATTCTGATTAGAGTCAACAACTGCTGTTTCCTCAGTGGTTTCATGATAAACTACATTAACTGAATTGCAAGGCATCTCTATTTGCTTGTTTTCCTTAATATCTTCTGTGGGGTGTTCCATCAATTTTGATATATTTTCATAGTGAACTTCTTCACATGCTGTGAAAGTGTCACTGAGACTGTCACTTCCATCCTCAGCATCTTCTGACAGCTGTTCATCGTCTGTGCTATTATGGAGTAAAAAGGTGGGTAAGGATGGCTGAGACAAACTCCTTATTTTCTGCGACATTATTATGGGATGTCCTCTAGAACTAGTTTTGGTTTTATCTGTGCCTTCTGTTATAAAATCATGTAAGTCATATAAGGACTCAGCATCCATCAATTTCTTCTGCTTTTTGATGTCTGATGGCACACTTGCATCAGTTTCAAAACTGTATTGTTCCAAACTTGCTGACATCTCACTTTCTGCTGTAACAACACATTTCTGCAGTGCAACACCTGGTTTAAAGGGAACACTATCTTTATGAATTACTTTTCTGTCAGAAATATCACACCCTTGAAAGAAATTCACTTCTATATTGCGTTCATTGAAAGATGTGCAGTCACCTAACATGCTAGAATGCTTTTGAAGGTTCTCTGGATTACCATTTATGATGCAGTGAGCTTGAATTTGACTGTTTTTACTAATTGAATTGTGTGTTTTTAATATTTCACATCTGTCACCTTCCTTCCAAGTATAAGATGCATTAAAACAACTTCTGTGACTAGTATACAAAGATGCTTCTTTGTTATGAAGATTAGGAGGCATGGTAGACCAAAGCATGTTCACTGTCTGCAAGGATTTTCTTTGCCATGTAGCTGACAGATTTGTGTTGTTGATCATTATCCTTCCTCTGTTTTCAACTAAATCGTTACAGTAACTGCTTATCACAGTTATTTTATCTTCCAACTTGCCAAATGTTTCACTTTGTGCACTGTGATCCTCTGAAGCACTTACATCAGGGATGTTTGAAAGGCAAAGAACTGTGTGTGCCTTACATGAGCCACTATCGAGTACATATTGACTATTTACTGAATTATTAAAGATTTCAAGGAATTTATACAATGAGACGATGTCAGTGTCTGCTTTTATGAATATCTGTTGTAAATAATCAGGAAAAATATCAACTGATGATCCCCCAATGCCCATGATATTCTGATGAGATGCATTTCCATACATGCTGAACTTGGACAGTTGTGGGCTAAACTGTTGTCTCTCATATGTATGACTGTTGACTGGAACACTGTCATATATATCTGGAACATTCTGTATCACTTTCAGAGACTGTTTGTTTTTAGAATGATTTAGTGGATTCTTCAAAAGAGCAGCTCTGTTGTTAGGAACACTGGAAATTATTGAGTTATAGTTCATCCCTGAATTAATAATTTCTGCATGTGTAGTATGGCAAGTTTTTGGCTCCTGTTTGGAACGAAAGTTTTTCACTTTAATTACTTACTGAGTTGCAAGGTAACATAGTAAGGGCTGGATTATTCACCACTATACCTGTTTTGCTCACTATTTCTTGGTAGTCTCTAATGTTAGTTAATTCACTTACCATTTTTTTAAATTGTTGATTAAGCTTTGTATATGCAAAGATGAGGTTCCCTGTGTCCAAATTTACATCAGCCTGAGCACAATTACGCATATCACTGGTTATATCATTAGCAGTTAATTTGGATATGCTTCTAAAACTGTTCTCATTATTCTGATGACAGCTCCAATCTGAAAATTGAATCATTAATAAATAAGTTCACTGAATTGAAATTTTAAAACAGGACATACAATTGGAAGTTACTATCTCAGTCAAACAATTATCCATCATATTCTTAAGAATAAAAGAAAGCATTCTGCTTATATTGCTTATATTCGTATTTGTCACCATAGATATGTCAAAGACCATATATTAAATGAAGTCTTTAAACTGATTTTGGGCACAGTATGAACTTACTGTGATTATTTAAAACGCGTTAAAAAAGTTTAATGGTAGACACTGCTGCACCTAAACTAATATGCAATGGCACAGAATTATCTAAAGAAGTGGTATCAATGTCTTCCAATCAGTGAATCTGAGTCACATGAGGCTAGGAGACATACAACTGGTTATTTCTTTTTTTAACAAGGGAGTTCCGGGTTGAACTCATAAAATTCACTTTCCTGTTGCGTACTTACAAATCTTCCCTTATCATTGTCTTATTCTGGCAATGTAAATTTATAATCCAACAATAAAGTGCAATTTTGCTCGCAAGCTAGTACACTGGACTTGTGTGCAATTGGTCACATGATCAAGTACTAGCTGAGCAAATTTTCTTATTGCTTGCAATTGTAAATATGTTACATGTTACTGTTTTTGTTTCTATTATTTTCTTCTTGGATGAATTTAGTACTTATGTTCACAGTTTGTCATTTGTCTATGTTAAATTTGTCAGACATAACCTCAAAGTTCTTCACTGTCCCCATATTTCAACAGAACTTGTAGATATGTTCATGGTTTATCTCCATGCGAAAATTCAAATGCTTCACTTCAACAGTTTGTTAGTTATTGCCACCAAACCAAGCTCTAAATACAAATTAATTCAGTTGTCATACTGTTGTTTTTTGTTCTACAAAAAGATTACCATACATAAAGTTGCACATTTTTTGAAGCTCCATTACCAAATATAATTTCAGGATCCTATTATAACGTTTTTCGATGTTTGCAACCGTTACTGACCCCCCACCTATAACCTCTTGAGGCCAGTTCTTTATCCACTTATTATTTCATAATTGCACTAACATTTCTTCTCTCTTGTCACTGAAGTGAATGGGAAACTGATCAACTTCTCTAATTCACAAAATGTTTCGCTAATGGACTACACTTACTAACCTGTTTTCCTCTATGCTGCATTGAACTTAAATTGGCTCTCATGATGGCTTTACAGCTACTGCTATAGGCATGCCACCCTTTGGGAATTTTCCTACATATGCTGGGGTGATCTCAGCATTCAGCATGGAACAGTCTTAGATGATATGAGGTGTGTGATGGACAGTCAATGTGATTCCCCAAGCTTAGCTCATGAGACACTATATCAAGTGAAGTTCCCACTACATGTTATGTTACTCAGTGGCCAAAATTAAAAAAGTACACAGTTTAGGTGTTTTATAATGGCAAAGTGGTAGCCACACAGACAACATTATCTCATGAGCCTACATCTTTTTCTTAAAAGAAAATGAGCTAACAAAAAGTGGTTAACACATTGAGGACCGGCAGCATGATATCATGATTTTAGGACACATTAGGTTGTAACACACTATACCTTGCTCTGGCGCCACCCAAGTTTCACGCAATGGCGTAATAAAACTCTGGAATGTTTGCTTACTTGTCAGTAACTTTACCTCGCTGTGTTCTTAACCCTCTATAAACGAAAATGCTTTGCTGCTCTTTGAGCTGTATGTATCAGTCAGTAGTTAGTGGTGGGGTATGGACAAGGACAAATTCTTCTCCGATAAGCCAGCTGGCCTGCCTTGAGAGACGTGTAGTCATGGTGATTCAGAGAGTGGCAGTGACAGGGAAGAACAAAGAATTGTGGCCAAAGACAGTAAAAGTGACAGTAGCTCTGATGATAATGGGGGTAATAACATTGAGGGGACTAACATTGCAGGGACAGTAACAAATCTAAAAAAATCACAAAATTCTAAACCGATTCAAAATTGAAATACAAAGCATTTCTGATGAATGTGGCAAAGGCCTGGGCTACAGAGCAGAACCAGAACCAGAGTCAGACACAGACTTAGTGCGACCGGGCCCATCAACTCCCACCCCACACAGACCTCATGTGGACCCCCTAGGGCGACTCTCGGGTGATATGCGGAAACATACCATCTTGAAAATTGTGAAGAGTGAACATTCCAAGGGGAAGCATCCTTCTAGGCAATGCTGTGTTTGCACAGTTCACAAAAAAGGAGTATGTCTACATTTGCAAGTTCTGTGTAATGCCACTTCACAAAGGGGAATGTTTCCAGAAATTTCACACCCTCAAGCACTTTTAGGAGCATTGGTAAGCGTTCTCCAAAAATTTTAGTTCATACAATTAATTAGGAGATTTTATATTAATTTCTAAAGTGAACAGTGCACAAGTTAGGATAGTAGGTTTAATAATGGCTGCCCCAGGGTGATTTACATATTTAAATCGCCGGTCCTTAATGTGCATAATTTTGAATAATGTCCATAACTGTTTTCTAAATTACACTTCAATCTGCCGAGGTCTGATCTGAACAACAGAAGGAAAATCTGACCATGCCAAAAACTCTGAGTTACTTGCTTTTCTACACGGGGGGGGGGGGAAATTGTTCCTGTCAGCTATACAGTGGAACAGTTATGTTCAGCCAGTCAGTTTTTTTTTAGAAAGTGATCTAAAGCCAGCTGTGATATGCATACAATATTATACTATAATAAGTTCAACACTGGATCAGTGAAGCTCATAATACATCCTTGTATTTGAGCACTATTATTGATGACGTATGATGTATTGCAGGCTGAATCATCTATAATTTTGAATAAAATCTCTGCATTTACTTATCTTATGGGCTGACCAAGAATGATATTGGAAAGACAATTTAGTTGTAAGATATGATGCTTTCATGGTGGCTAAAGTTAATTAAATCTTCTTGGGCTATCACCGATGTGAATGGGTTAAAAATGAATCATGAATGTTTGCCTGGCTTCGTCTCCTTTCCAAGCCAAGCAAAGTCATGACTCCACTCATAAGCACCACATGGCTTATACCCAGTTTATACCATGGGCTCCTGGTTAATATATAGATGGGAAAGATGGATCAAATTTCACATCAGATCCTGACGATGAGGACAGAAATGATCCCTGAAAGATCAGCCCTTTTTTATCAACTCACACAGCTGACAGCCTAATAATATTTCACTGACAATTTAATTAGCCTCAGTGTGGGCTGTGGGCCTAATTCATGTACAGGAGGAATCAGGAAAAGAACAGTATACATGTTCCTTCCAGCACCTGTTACAATTGATGGATCCAAGGTTCTCACAGCAGTGTCTGTGAAGAGTTCTGTCTTCTGTAATATAATGCCATGTAGTCTAGTGAAAGTCAACTAGCATTTTGCCTCCATCTTTGGAGTTAAAGAGTACGTCAAGAGAAACCAGCATGAAGCAGGCAGTGACCAGAACTTGTTTAATGCTGGTTTCTTGCTTGGCTTGCTTTATGCCCCGGAAAATGGAGGCAGTATATTCCTCCAAAATATTGACTCACTTTCACCGGACTATATGGCATGATATTCCAGACAACAGAACTCTCTATCTATTACAATGAATTGTAAACTGATTAATTTCCATTCCTTAAAAGAATACAAGGTGTAGTGTAGTGAAGATTCAACAAGTACAGCCATGTCTGATACAGTAGAATGGAAGAGAACTGGGTGGTTGGTTCTTCCTTTTGGCAGTGGTGTAGCAAAGAGAATGTTGTAAGATAATAAAGTAGTGCACAGATATCATACATGGATATCATGTTTACATGTGAGCTCAAATCAGTTTAATATATTTCACATATTAACAAAAAAATCCATCTGTTATATACAAAATATATGGGCATGTAACACATGCACACACAGTGAAACTTTATATCTCTATCAAAGGCTGTTCATCATTTATAATTCTTCAGAGAGTATGCTGCCACTGAAATTACCTAAGGAAAGAAATCTGTATATAGACCAACATACTGTACCTTAACACACACAAAATCATAGTAGACTTATTGTGCCTGTGAGCCTGGTAAGCTAAAGACCCTAGACATTTTGGACACAATAGCCTGATTTCATGTTTCAGCTAGATCCAGTTGTATACAATTATTCTAGACATTCAGAAAGAAACATCACACTACTACAGTGTATTATGTCTCCCAGATTGTTTCATTTCCTAATGCATCACTTGCTCACAATTTTTTTAACACACTGTGAACATAGGAATTTGTATTCTGATTTCATAACCATAGTGCAGTGTGTGAAGACCTGTTACTACCCAATCACCACTTCAGCACACACTGCACTATGGGCTGCCTTAATTATCAGGAAGACTATGACTAATCAGTCCATCACAGTCAGTAGGGATGTGTGCTTGTAATGGAAGCCTTTGTGTTACACTGTAAAGGAAAATGCTAACTATACATGCTACCTGTTTAATATTCAGTGATTTTTGTTTTATTATCAATATAAGCAATGACTGTTCTAAATGTCATTAACTGAATGATCTTTCTAACAAAGACTGTGTCTTCTGGTGAGGATAGGAACCAAAATTTTAAACGAGTTTTGTTATTTGAAGGGTTACAGTACTGTTCTGACATATGTCTAAGAGACAACCTGCTACAACAGAAAAACCTCAGGTTAGATTGCTGTTGCTGGGATGTGAAGGAGGTAGCCTGAGAACTTTAAATGATACCACTGGACTACTATCTCTTTATTTATTTGTTTATACATGCTTTAGTGAATCACATTATTAGTAGCTCTGACTATAGAGCACAAGATGACCAGATGATTAGTGAACTGCAAAGGATGGGAATGGAAGTAGCAGTGGCCTAATTTGAGATACTATCCCTGCATTTATCTGATGAAAACAACAAACCTCTAGAACATGATGCAAGAGTGCTAACAATACAACCATATATTAATTAGCAACAAGGAATTGTGTATGAAATAATTAACACTACTGTACTAGTCCCATTGCTCTCTCACACCTCACAAATGCTCTATTCAATAAACTCACCCCAGAAAGATTTGTGAGACTTGAGGTTCTCATGGCAGTGACTATAAAGAGCACTCTGGTGTATGTTTACTGACATTCCAGGGAAGCATAATACCTCCTCCTTCAGGTTCATACAGACGGCCAAGCAAGCAGCAAGAAGAGTATTTACTGCTTGCTTCCCTTACACTTGGACCCTGAAGGAGGCAGTACACTCTCTGAAATGTTGGTAAATTTCTACTGCACTGCATGGCATAACATCCCAGAATCAGTGGTCTCCATGTCACAGAATTCATTTAATGAAAGATTCTTATAATTTTCTGCATTTAGGTGTTATGTATGAACATAATTTAGGATTAATCACAAAATTTCTATATTTGAGAAAATCCTTCATTACTCTATATACATTAAAATAAAATAATATCCATTCAAACTCTTGCTTTTGCACAAGTGTCTCTTACGCTTATGAATCAATTTGCTTGTTTTCATTAAACATGGTATGAATGGCATATTACTGGCAGTCGTGTCTCCATAAATATGTTTTCCCACTCACTGTAGGTCAGTTTGTTTTTATGAAGCATGCTGCTAATCTACTGGCAAATATATATGTAATATGGCTACTGGATTCAGACTGTATTTCTGAATCATTCTGGCAGCCACATTTTTATTCTATTTTAAATATCTGCCACCAAGACTAAAAGCATGAGAACAGATAACATTCAAGGTATAACTGTCACATGAGACAAAATTACCATACAAGTATCGCTATTTAAGTATTTATGATACCTTATCCCAGAACAAAGAATGAATGTAGAAATAAAATTACCACGTTACAACAAAATTAATGGAATTATTGTCATAATTTTGGCAAATAAATGAGAAACAAAAATAAGATTACAAGCTGGGCTGCAAAAACGAATTTGAAACATGTTGCATGCCTGGCTATCTATGAAATGTGATACCAAAGGACTGGAAGCAGCAGCAGCGAGTTTCTGTTACTTTTACTAGATAGTATTACATGGCCAATCATCACTGAAATATAAATATGTAAAGAGGAAATAAACGCTTAAAATGTTACCAAGGAAACTGAAGGCTACAATGAGTGATGGCTAAGGCATTTGCATTTTACGAACGCAAATATTACAATCAAGAGAACAGAAACTGCAGGGGTGAACAAATTCCGAATGTCACTAAACAAAGACAGAGAGCCTCTTGCACCCTGAGGATTAAGCTAGGTCAAGTAGGCCTCATTCTTACCAGTTTCATGGCGATGATGAATGTCATGATCCTGAAAATTCTAATTACCTTACGTGAATAACCTAACCTATCTATGACAAGCAATTTTGTTACAAAGGCCAGAGGAGTCTGTTTATAACCCAGTATGACACACAAAATTCACCACTACAGAATTACTCTTTTCCCTAACTAATATCTGGATATGCTGTTCTCCCCCCTTATAAAAAAGTTGATTCGAAGTTCGTTAAGTAATTGCATTTTTCATCGCGAATGTTGAAATAGGACAACTATTCCAGCCCTCATGATTTACATCGCAGAAAACAAACCCTCACCTTGAAGTTAATGATAATTAACTTATGAAGGTTCGTTTATTTGTTATACAATGTCACATAAATGAAAGGAAGTCCACCTTATATAAATATATGCACTTCCCCTTTTCCAGATTCTATTGCGTAAAAACTACCGGAAACATAACACTAATGACCACTGAATATGGAGTGCTGAAAATGCAAGGATATACTACAGAAAATCATTGTCTTACCCATGCTCGCAAGTGCTGAAGCACTTGTGGCGAAGCGTATTTCATTATCATTTGCACTAATAAAATCCGCCGAGTCGGGATTGCGAAATAGGTATAGCGATGGACTGTGGGTTGGACGACAGCACCCAGGCGGTCCAGACCGGCTCTGGCGCCCATCCAGCCTCCCACGCAATGGGGTACCAGGGGCTCTTTCCCCGGGGTAAAGTGGCCAGGGCGTGAAGCTGACCACTCAACTCCACTCTCCAACATATTTTCCTGGCGTGGTGCTTAATCAATAAAGCACCGGGACAACAACGAACGACTATGATGGCCGACCAACACATAATAAACCCCACGCCCCAGCAAGAACATTCCAGGCAGCAACAAGAAACAAACCAAACAAAACCAAAAGCAACCACGTGCAACTCGAGGACATCCAACTTCAACTGATGGTAACCCACATAACCAAAATAACCGGAGGAAATTACAATAGGAGGAAAGAAAACTGCATTACAGTGAGCAGCAGAAGAATCCTTAACCAAACAGCCTCTACACCTGAAGATGGTCAGTTAAGCCGAAACATGTAGTGTCTAACAAATAAATACGAAGAAAGAACCGTGAATGACGTTACACATGAACGGCACAAAAGCTCCTCAGTCACAACTTTACCTTTTTTACCTTTGCTAATAAAGTCAGTAGGAACACTAACGAAGATAGCTCCAGTTTCTGACGATGCCAGTCCAAGTATTGTTCTTTTATCACGACTGGGTCCCTTGTTATAGCTAATCGATCTCAAGATCACATGAAACAACCCTGTCGGAACCTAACACAAATGCTTTCCTTTCCGTCACACAGTTACGTGGAGATCAGACACTTTTATTCAGTTGTGATTCAGAAAAATTCAGGGTTGCAGTTCGGATGCGAAGATAGAAACACAAAATCTGCCACCCTGGACTTACCTGAATCACAACTGAATATAAGTCTGATATTTCAACAGGAAGACTGTTTTCTGGATGTACTACTCTGTCCAAAAAGTATCCGACCTTGGGCCGGGGGAAAAAAACGTTCTGCATCTGAGTGGTTACAATACCTAATCGCCTTTAAAGTAGGCCCCTTGTGACTCCACTCACTTAGCCCAGCGGTCCTTCCATGGCTGGCAGAAATTCTGGAAGGCTTCCTTTGGAATGGCGTGCAGCTGCACAGTCGCATTCTGTATGATGTCCTCACGGCTGTCAAAACGGCAGCCTTCAGCGGTGTCTTCAATCTCGGGAACGGCCAGAAATCACAAGCCATGCCAGGAGAGTAGGGAGCCTAGCGAACCTGCGGAATGCCGTGCTTGGCCAGGAAACTCTGGATCAGGTGTGATGAATGAGCTGGGGCGTTGTCATGATCGTCATGATGCAGCTGCCAGTTGCGTGCATCCTAGAGTTCCGGCCTCTTGCACCGAACTGCATCATGAAGATGGCGGAGGACTTCTTGGTAGTACTCCTTATTGACAGTCTGGCCTAGTGGTGCGTACTCATGAGGCACAACACCCCGGTAATCGAAAAAAAAAAACAGTCAGTATCACCTTCACATTGCTCCGAACCCGTCGTGCTCTTTTGGGCCTCGGGGATGTTGGATGCTTCCAGTGTGACGCCTGGACCTTGGTTTCCGGGTCATACTCCAAGTTTCTGACACAACTTAATGCAGTATCACTGCTCCAAGCGTTCTGTCATCTTGAGCGAAACGAGAATGCGACGAACACACGTTACACCACTTCGTTATCTGGCAGCCACAGAGGCATCCGGCAGTGTTGCGAGTCAGCAAAAAATCACGCATGCACATGAAAGTCCCTTCTACCACTACACTCAGTTTCCCCACTCCTTTGGCCATTACTTACAGCGGAAAAAAATAAGGTCGGATACTTTTTGGACATACAGTATATCCCTGTACCAGGCCGTGAAGGCCCATTGGATTGTGAGACACTGAGGGTCCCACATTATCTAGACAATCGGCTCAAAGATGGCGGTAAGGCTGCCAGCCTTACGTTCCGGCCGCGCTTTACTCCCTAGGAAAATTATTCAATTAATTCCTGGTACTCATTTCTGTTAGAGGCTGAGTCGACCCCAGGGCCATTTTTTTCTACTGCTAGTGGGGCAGGACTAAGTCTTTTGTACTGCGGCCACTTCTGGCCTATTGTACCAGCCCCAGATGATAGGTGAGGGTGGTTGTGAAGTAACTGGTGGACTGAAGATTGTCAGGGGAAACCGAAGTACTCGGAGAAATCCTGCCCCAGCGCCACTTTCTCCACCACAAATCCCACTTGATCAGACCCGGGATCGAACCCGGATCGCCGCGGTGGAAAGCCAGCGACTAACAGCTTGAGCTATGGCGCGGCCTGACCCCAGGGCCATAGTGCGGCTGGAAGGATTAGGTCAATTGGAAAAAAATGTCATGATAGTATTTAGTTCATGTTTCAACCAATGACAACTGCCATGTTTTATTATTTTTGCTTGCAACAACGTCAAGTATCAAGCCCGACACTACTGATTTGACTAATGCTGTTAAAAGTAATCGTTAAGTTTCGCGCTAACAAAGAACAAAAATTAATGTGTAAATGTGTACACGGTGTGTCGTTTAAATGAAAGGTTATAAACATTCGGCCGCTGGTAAATTTAAGGAAATAACTTTCCATGATCTATACGACAGATCAACTACAGTTCAGATCTTTTGCATTCATCAGATACGATGAGACAGTACATCAGCTATTCATAGACTTCAATAGAGCCTACGATTCAGTTAGGGGGGAAGTATTGTACAATATTCAAATAGAGTTTGGGATACCCATGAAACTAGTTAGGTCGATTAAAATGTGTTTAATGGAAACATACAGTAAAGTCCTTGTAGATAAATATTTGTCTAAAACAATGAGATGCTTTATTGCCACTCCTTTTCAACTTTGCCTCAGAATATGTAATTGGGAAGGTCCAGGAAAACCAGGTGGGACTGAAATTAAATGTGACACATCAGCTGTTGGTCTACGCCGATGATGTGAATCTACTGGGTGATAATGTAGATACCATAAAGAAAAACACACAAACTTTAATTGACGCAAGTAAAGAGGTTCGTCTAGAAGTAAACAAAGAGAAAACTAAGTATATGTTGCTGTCTCGTCACCAAAATTCAGGGCAAAATCATGACATAAAGATGGACACAGATGTTTTGAAAATGTGGCACAGTTCAGATATTTGGGAACAACGATAACAGATCGAAACCTGATTCAGGAGGAAATTAAGAGGCGATTGAACTCTGGTAATGCTTGCTACCATTCAGTCCAGAACCTTTTGTCTTCTCGTCTGCTGTCCAAAAATATAAAAATTAGAACATACAAAACTATAATTTTGCCTGTGGTTCTGTATGGGTGTGAAACTTGGTCTCTGACATTAAGGGAGGAACATAGACTGAGGATGTTTGAGAACAGGGTGTTGAGAATATTTGGACCAAAGAGACATGAAGTGACAGGAGGTTGGAGAAAACTGCATAAAGAGGAGCTTCATAACTTGTACTCTTCTCCAAGTATAATTATAATGATCAAGTCAAGGAGGATGAGGTGGGCAGGTCATGTAGCATGAATGGGGAGACAAAGAATGCGTATAGGATATTGGTGGGATAGTCAGAAGGAAAGAGACCACAAGAAAGACAAAGGCGTAGGTGGGTGGACAATATTAGAATGGATCGTAGAGAGATAGGATGGGATGGTATGGATTGGATAGATCTGGCTCAGGATAAGGACCAGTGGAGGGCTCTTGTGAACATGGTAATGAACCTTCGAGTTCCATAAAATGCTGGTAAATTCTTGAGTAGCTGCAGAATTGGCGGCTCCTCCAGAAAGGCTCAGCTCCATGAGTAAGTAAGTATTGATCTATAAGATATATTTCATAACAGGTCAAGAATTACTTGAGAATAAGAAAAATGTAAAAAAAAGGATTAAGTTAGGTTATGCAATGCTCAATTACATTACATTAAAATTATATAAAATCTGGATCGAAGTAAGCGATATCTCTTAAGTACAGTAAAACAGAAAACAGTTTTAACATAACAGCTTGGGGGGAGGGAAAAATCTGGTAAGTCTGTAAACAACAACCTTTGCTACACAATAGGCTAATGAAAAAATACTCGATCCATGTAACGATCGAAGTATTTTTGGACTACAACAACATAAACGATGTTTTCTATGTGGTTCATGCCGAACTGTTATAAGCAGTGTCAGTCGAGTTCGGAAATACTCAGTTGTCAGGAGATCAGTTGAGTGAAATGATGTGAAGCAGCTGGTTGGTGAGTGGGAGAGTTCAGTTGTAAGTTGGAAGTCAGTCTGTGAAGAGGAGACTAGGAGGTTGCTGTGAGATGGCTGCCAGCCTAGGAACAAGTTAGATGAGTTGTCAGTTGACTAAGAGTTCTGCATGGGCGGCTGTGACAAGAGTGCCTGGGCGCAGGAAGCTGAAGGATCTCCCTTGGTAGAAACCACTGCCAGGAAACAGCTAGTGGAGACTGTAATAGACTGAGGACATTAGTCTGCGTATGTCAGTGAACTGTAAAGTGTAGTTCCGAATGGTATGTACAAGTGGTCAATAAATCCAATATCCAGTCCGTACTATGTTATAACACTGCCAGTATCACTTGTCTGTGAGTCATTAAAAGTGTGTGTTCACTTGAATGGGCTAAAAGAGAGGATAAGTCCAGAAACACGCCGAAAGACATGTTTATCAAATGTAGCATCCAATATGAATGTAATCATTCATAATAAATCACAGTGTGTGGGCGCAGAGAGCAGTTCATATACTCAACTGCTACAAATATATTATCTCGGCTTTGTGAATTTCTCCATATTGCAGAGCTGGCGCTGAATATTATAAATGAGCTCTGACAACAAAGGTGACATTCATACGATTGTTACCACCTGTGATGCTGGTATAAACACCAGTTACAAGCATACCCAAATCACTTCTCAGTGAGCAACCAGTACCACCAACAAATGAGGGTCTTCGTTTGTCTTCTGTCTGCGCTTGCGCTCTGCCAAGGTAAGCAAGTGAAAATGGCTAATGCTCACATTGTTTAACCGAGAGGAAGGGACAAAGGATGCCTTTATTCGATCAAACGGCTCTCAGATTTCAACTCAGCCATTACTACAGCCTCTAGCGTGTCTCAAGAGAAACACTGGCATACGAATGGTAGTGGAAGTTGAAAACATATTGTCAATTTAGCTATTTTTTTTAATGCAAGTCACAATATATGACGTTTCAACAAGGAATAGGCTTACATTTTTGGAAATGATTATCATTGTTTTAGTCAAATTCTCTATACCATAGTTATCAACGCCGAAAGTGATGACATTCTCGTTTGATAGTAAAGAGTAGGCTATTGAGCTTTATACACGTAATAAAAAAGGTGGCACAATGCAGTATACAAATCTTTGACCAAGAAACCATCCAACCGCCCCAAAAAGAAATAATGTTTATGGTAAATTAATTTATATTTATCAGAATTTTCGAAATACTATGAAGGAAAGAATAATATTAAGTTACATAATTAATAATGGCTAATTATGATTAGTGTTACACCACTGGTGAGGCCTTACATGTGAATCTCCTACTCATTTTAGTTTGGTTTGCAGGCATGAAACATGGATAAAACACCGAACATGTGTATCATTCGTGGATAGTCCACGCTTTCATAACGCCATACAAATCCTCTTCTCTTTTTAAAAAGACTTCTAATGGCCGCAAATGGTACATGTCAACTCAAACTAAAACCTGAGGAAATGCAAGCATACACTCCCATTTGTGAGTTTCGAACGACGAAAACAGTACCTGACGGATTGATCAATTAAATCTATTTAATCTTATAAATAAGGATAGACTGACGTGTCACAGAAAGGACTCATTCGTGCTCGAAGAATCTGCGCTTACAATCCAAAATCAGAATGCCACTCTGATAGTCCAGATGCCGTCCCAAATGATTCTAAACCGCCAAAGACCCGATGATTTTTACCCTTCACCACAGACAAACGCTTGACCACAAAACTACGTGTACGTGGGACGCGGCAATTGTAACGGCGGAATTTGTCACTGTGTTGCAGCTTACGACTACAAGGAAGTCCTGCGCGATTCGCTACTCTTCTACGAGGCACAACGATCGGGAAAATTGCCCGCCGATCAGAAGGTCACGTGGAGGAAAGATTCAGCCCTCAACGACAAAGGACAAAATGGCGAGGACTTGACAGGGGGATACTATGACGGTAAGTGCACACACAACATGTGCGCTACTTAACGTTACGTCTAAAGTTTTAAACCAAATGAATCACTCAACTATTCTTTTTCACTGCAGAACTATACCTGAGCACAAACATCGGCTACAGAACTTAAGACCTGAGCGAATCTTAAGACGCATAGGGAAGTACTATAACACAGATCGCTAATTGAATCTCGGTTCATACATCAACTCTTCCACCCAAAGAAGCCCATGTACACATCGCTGCTACCAACATGACGTCATTTATAAATTATTTTTAACGTTACTCATAGATAACAGTACAGGTAAAATTGGTAATGTGACGTTTAACAAAATGATGGTGTAAAAAAACGTGCATGACAGAAGATTATTTCCAAGGAGTAAATTTAAACTAGCTGCACGTCTATGTCAGTATCAATTATGCGGACTAAGAGAAGATGAAAGATTTCGAAGATGTTGCTGCGTATTGTAAGGTTCCATATGACACAGAAAACTCACCCTTTCGCATTTTCTGCCTAGGCATAGAGGTCATCAGATTACTAGATTTCAATATGCAGTCTCGAACAGTTCTATCCGCAACTAGAAGTATAAAATATTATGCATGGATTACACCAGTTTCTGATGCTTAGTAATTTTAAGGACGTGCTCATATATTTTTGGAATATTCTACGGGATAAAGGGCGCCCGGCGCGTAAGGCTGACAACATTGCCGCCATCTGTGAGCCGATTGTCTAGAAAATGTGGGAACATCAACATCTCACAACCCTATGGGCCTCCACGGCCTGTTATAGGGATAGCTTTACTTTTACTTACTTACTTTTCACTCATGTTATGCTATAATACTTTGCAGTTGATGCGAAGTCTTAACATGTGTAAAGGGACGAGATCCGGTAAGAGTCATTCCTAATTACATAGTAAATTGTTAGAAGTCTATATTAATATGAAGAATGCCGTCTTCTGGGATGTGACGCCGTGTAGATCTAGTGTAAACTGACGTGTCGGAGGAACGTATCGTCTCCAGCTTCAAAGTACAACAAGGGGCAGTGC